GTGACTGGGCTTATTTCATACATCTGGCTGAGCCAAGAACATGAGGTACCGTTTACACTGAGCAAAAATGCGCTAGCCGGTTTGCCTAATTTTACAATCCCCGATTTTTCGGTGGTTACACCCGAGAAAACCTACACATTTTTGGATATGTTAGCTGAATTGAATGTTGGTATTGTTGTAATACCCATCGTTGGAATACTCACCAATATCTCGATAGGTAAACTGAGTAAGTACCGGAAGGAATTAAATAAATTACATTTAGGTGTATGGTTGGGGTTACGAATTGAATAGCTAACTTATCTGAGGGTTAGGGCAATAATTTTTAGTAATTAACTACCACTACTGATTGTGATTCCAAGTCATTATGGTATGAATTCCTTTCACGTGGACTTGAGAAGCAAGTATTGATATACATACTTAGTTCAAGGCGATGAAACTTAGACAATCTCCTTAACATTGGACCAAATATGTTACGCTAGTCGTAGATGTTTTTTTTTACTTTACATACGGGAACAGTGGGTTTTGCTCCTGATGCCATACCCCATATAACATCCGATTTCTGAAGTATGTTAAGAAAAAATGCCCTGTATATAACTGCGTCATGAAATCCGGTCCTCGATTGAGGTCAAATTGAAACTCTCCGTGGCTAACTCATCAGCAGCTTAATTTTCGGCAGTGCTAAGATAACCACGGTCCAAAACTAAATCTATTTCGAACTGACTACTAACTCCATTGGAAACAGTTATGCACTTGTTAGTCACCTTTAGCGACTTTGTTGTAAAATATACCAGATCCATAGTAGTCGATGGCAAAAATACTGGCAAAGTCAAGTATATGGATTGATCTTCCCACCACCTGTGATTCATAGAAAATGCCTGTTTTAAGTTCGCGTTCCTTTTCGGAGCCAGCCTGCTCTCGATGGGAGAAGAACCCTGAATACTACATCCACTCCATCTTATAATCAGTGCATTGTATGTATATTATTCCACAGTCGACAGCAATTCTATGAAATTGAAGTGGGTCCCCGTGCCAAGGCAATGCAATTGATCATTAGCAATAAGTTTCCGAATAAAAACGATTCAATGCCTCTTTCATCAGGAAATAAAGGAAAACCTTCAAACCCCGATGAAGAAGCCTAACGATAAGCAAATCTCCGCGGTCTTGTCTAAGTACTCTTTCTGTCAACACGTAGAACGTACCGAAGCAGTATTCATTATAAGCTAAACTACGATAAGCGTTTGTATATTACATTCCTTCTAAAATGTGCCTTCTTCTTTTTCGGTAATTCACAGCTCCTAAGGGTATGGTTGATGCTAACAAGGAATTGATCACCGTCGGTCTCTGCAATCTTGCCGGTTCCTGCGTACAATCTATGCCCGTATCAGGCGCCTTCTCGCGTTATGCCATCAGCAACGCTTGTGGACTCAGAACTCCAATGGCCAATTTATACCTAGGTGAGTTTGACCATCACAATTCCGTAATTCTTCGTACTAATATATTCCGATATCGCAGGTGTGATTGTGCTACTGGCTTTGGGCTTTCTCAGTCCCTACTTCAACTACATACCCGAATCAACGCTTGCCGCCATTTTGATGTGCTCCATCGTAACTTTGCTGGACCTGCAGCTACCACGGCGTTTGTGGCGCGATGCTAAGCGTGATTTCTGCGTGTGGGTGCTGTGCTTTACTGTCTGCATCCTATGCGGCGTGGAAGTGGGCCTGCTAGTCAGTATTATAGTCACAGTATTACATTTACTATTCTTATGGGCGCATCCTGTGATCTCAGTGCATGTAGAAGAGGTAAGAGGAGATAGGAAGCATTTTTTTTTTTTAATTTCTAATTGCTACACACTTTGCAGGTAAATGAGCTACAATTCATAGGCGTCACGCCGACTGGCGTCATCTATTTCCCCGCCATCAATCATTTGCGCGCCAAAGTGCTGAAAGCGTGCGAACGCGTCAACTTCAGTCTGCCTGTGGTTATGGATTGTCATAAGATCACCGGCATCGATTTCACTGCGGCGCAAGGGATCTCAAAACTGCCAGACGATTTGACTCAATCGGAAGTGGGTAGTGGACCGCTCCTCATCATATACAGACTAGAAGCGGAGAAACAGAAACTAATACAAGCCACTGACAAGCTGATCTTCTGTAATGACGATGTGAAGCTGGAAGAATGCATAACGCAAGAATCATTTAAGAATGGGAATTTCGTGATGAAAGAACCTATGAAATCTACAAATAGTCTGCTAGGCGAGACCCATTTAGATTTGCATTATTAGAGTATAGTGTAGGTAGGAAAAGAAGAAGAAGCGGATGTGGAAGAGAAGCAACATTGCAAGTGAGTCTTTGTGATATGTACGAAAATATAAATAGTAAGTAACTGTTAATTGGGACAAATGAACACTTGCATACTTAGAAAAGTGCATACGTACACACATTCGTAGGTATGTATGTATGTTTGTAGGTATTTTAGTATGTAGGTACTCGTATGAATGGACGCGTACTAGATAATAGCTAGTAAAAAGTAAGCTAGTTGTTATATAATATGTACATATGTATGTCATGTGCCATTATTGTTGTTGTTATTGTTGTCGACGCTGTAGCCAGAGAGTATTGGAATGTTTTGGCGCCCAATGTGCAAATGTTCACTTAGTTGTAATTTCAGATTTAACAATAGCGCATTCTTAATGTAAATATATGTACATTTACCGCCCAATTCTGTGTTTTCTTGATAAATTTTTTGTAAAGAAATTTTATCAAGATTTTTATCAAGGCTGAATTTCTTTATTCATTCCAGATAACAAATAGAATGAATGGA